GCTGTGCCCTTTGCATGACATAGACCATGTCCAGCAGCCGTAACAGAAATCATGTAAAACACAAAGTCAAAAATGTCTTCGATTCCACCTGTTGTTGAAGAGTGTGCTAACCCATTGCTTTTAGCAGTCATGTATTTCTTAATCCTTCACAGAACACAGCCTTGTGAGCCAAACATCTATTTTGGAATCTGTTCCTTCACTTATGAGCAATGTGGACTTGGAGAAGTTATATGGCCTTTCTGTGCCTACATATGCAACTGCAAAAATGGAGATAAAGACCTCAGAGGTTTTATGGGAGAATTGATTAATATATGCTAAGTTCTACACACAGTGCCTGACAGCAACTTTTCAAGGTGCATCAGCTATTGTCCTCATTAGACATTAGATTTTGTGTTGCTCCAGAACATGAAGTGACTTCTCTAAGGTCACAGCACTCTTTGCTGCCATAGCTTAATTTAGCTTTTAAGTTTGAGGACAGTTATGTTTGTTGATGGAAAGGACAGTGATTTTGGTTTTTGTAAGCCTTCTACATTCTTTAAGCAAAAGTCTCATTGTAGGCAGCTGACACTCCAAGATGGGACATCAAGCCATGTTGCTTGGATTCACAGGAAATTATTTGCTGCCAGAAATTTTGCACTGACCCCATGAAGAAGAATGGAGATTCTATCCTGCTTCACCTGAATCAAGACATAGGGTGAGCATGAATTTCCTGGGATTGTACCTTATTGCATGAAGGTCCTCAGGTGTGTTCTGCAACACAGTGACTAAGCACACAGATCCTGAACCTGGGGGTTCAAGTCCTTCTCTAATGAGTTAATAGTTATATCACCATGGTGAAGTTTCTTAATATTTGAATATTTATTTCCATATCTGTAAAACAAGGATAAAATGGTACCTTGTGGAATTTTGAGAGTTAAAGCACTTCATAGATGAAAGCATAGAGGAAAATACCTATAAACAATAACTATATTCCAGTCTCTGTGAATACATTTGCTCCCTCTCAATTCCACAGATATTTCAGGTTTCTTCAAAGCAGAGTAATGTTCACAAATTAATGAGAAACAAAAATGCTTTGCAAGACTAAGCCAAGGCCATCCCCGAGGTTGAGGTTGACATGGATCTGATGTATCAGACATCTCCACTTGCATTTGGATATGTCTGACCCAGGATGTCAAGGTTCTCAGTAAAGCAGTTACTCTGCAACTTGGGATGTGCCGTAGACTTTGGCTTGTCAGGTATATTTCCTACACACTCCTCTCCTCAAATATATTAGCATCTCCTCCAAGAAGCCAGGTATGATCCAACAAATCCCATTGGATTAGAGATAAAATTTTTGTGAAACACATTTGAACATCAAAGTAAAAACCGATGTTCAACATGCATAGCCCTTATCCAGTGAATCTTAAATTCTCAGGCCAGGTTTTCAAATCATGGAGTGAACAGTTTAGGGCTGATGAAACAGCAAGAGGAGCCCTTGAGAGTTTCAGGTTTATATTAAAGTTCAGAGACATGACCAGGAGATATGCTTCTAAAGGTATGGTATCTAGTAATTTAGTTCTCAGATTAAGCTCTGTGCTCTCAGCTACCTGCCATGTTACAAAGCCCAGACACAGAGGAACTTCTACCTTCCTGTCCTTTCTATGAGAGAAATACGCCCATATTAGTCCCTATCTTGAAAATAACAATGATTCATCTGCTCACCACGAGTGGTTGCTCTATCAGCTCCTGCAATTTCTGGCTCAGTTCTTTTGTGCCTCTGGGAATTTGGTGTCCAGGGCTGGAATAAGGGGCTCCACTATCCCCAAGATTATGTGGTTCTGTAGAATGTCCCTAAAGAAACAAAAGAGATCCCACATCAACCATGGGGTTCTGAGGACACCCTTCCTAAACACTCCTCTTGTAAAGTCATCCAACTTGGTATTCCTGGGGGCAACTCCTTTTCTGTATCTATAAAGAATAACTGTGGTGACACATGAGCAAACCAGGAAGAGCCCTTTCTTAATGTGAGCTAGAGACTGAGATAGGAGAGAAATGAATTAGGAAGAATCCTTCTCATGTCACAGGGAGAGAAGGACCTGGGCTATAGAAAGGCTGGACTTGGATTAAACACAATAGATTAATCTATTTCCACAACCAAAAATCCCTCTGGTCAGGTGAGGCTATATCCCCCAACCATTTACAAATCATAATTTGAAAACATATAAGAGTTTTCTAGGCTCAGTGTAGGGGATTTCTATAGGCAAGGAGAAGAGCATATGCAAAGAAAAGAGGAATATTCTTAGAGCTACAGGTGAGTCAGCAGAGCAGAGTACAAGGGGGAGAAAGGAAATACAGATAAGAGTGGAGAAGTGTCTGGGGATCAGAGCACTGACCTTGCAGTACTTTGCTAAGTGCTACATACCATATCTTGATGACTTGGTGAGTCACTAAAATGGGAGGCATTAAACAGAGAGAACTGCATAATTAGCTGTTGATTTAGAAAAGCTCTTACGGGAAAAATGAAGACTGAATAAAAGGAGGGGAATTATAGAGCTGGGACAAATAGTTAAGCAGTTTTAGAAGAATGCAGATTAACAATAAGGGGAGCTAGAACCACTCCAATCTTCCCAGAACTGGCCCTGCTGCTCCTTCTCTCCCCCTCACTTAGTGTCCTTGGATCCCATAGCAACAATTTTCCCTTCAGATAGATCAATGCTTTATATTGTCCACATATCTCTTCTTATCTTCCCAACCTGAGATATTCCTAAGAGATGATGTCCTAGAGTTAGAGACAGACCTCCCTTCTTACCTGGTAAGTGTGTAGAGAGGAAGAAGAGGCTCACAAATAGATTGTTCGGAACAGGAAGCGGCCATACTGACTCATCAAATGTGCCAGATTTTTGTATGAAGTTGTAGAAAGTCCATTTACCAGAGATGTTCCAGCCTCCAAGCTGAGACGGAAGAGAGGGCTGAGCATAGGAGGTATGAGACTTAGCACCAGTTGCCTGGAGTTTTTCATACTTTCATAGCTGCTATCTCCTTGTTTTGGAGTCTTTGGGTCTTCCTAGGTTTCCAGCTCTACCCTTCTTTCTCTGCCCTCAGCCTACATCTTTATTCTTCACAGAGCATTGCCATTAACATTTTCCTCCTAGAACATGGAAATTCCTAGAAAAGTGGTCCAGACAGTAGGAAAAACAGCAACCACAAGTCTCCATTGTTTCTATGTGTTACTTATCCTGAAAAGATGATGCCCCACTTTTCTCATCTCATCAGTACTTGTCTGAGGGGACCATTTCTTGCAGCTTCAATGACATCTATGTCCATGCAGGATCCATAGTGTTGGAAAGCTTCTCCTCCCAGAGCCAGGGTGCCAGGATCCTGGGGCCTCTAGAAAGAAGACATAGGGGAATGAAAAGAGTACTGGCTGGAGTAAAGACAAACAGAGAAAGTAGGAGACCGGAAGCTACAGGAAAGAAAGGAAGTTCCACAAAGGGATATGGAAGGAAGGGAAGGGGCCAAGTCTAGGAGAACTACCCAATTTGGAATGGATCAAAAAAAGGATAGGAGCAAAGAAATGAAGTACAGGCATAATGATGAGGAAAACAAAGGAAGTGTTTAAAGGAAAAGACAAGGAAGAGAGGAAAAGAATAGAATAGGCAAGATTTGAGTGAAGGACAAAGGGTAGAAATGAAAGGCAGGGGAGAGGTGAGTTAAGAAGTTAGAAACATATAGTAAGCCAGAGGACTTTGAGTGATTTCAGGGAAATAAATTCATATGGGAAAGTTTATCAAAGTGAAGAAATGAGTAAACTAAGGATTCACTTAGTTCAAACTCTTTTCATCCCTTGATCCCAGGAAAAAAAAACAAGCAATTATAATAACCTTAAAAATACATCTATCTGAATCATCTACCTTCTAACATCTAAAACCATCCCATCAAATCTCCTGATTTTGTTCCTTCATCCAACTGTAGGAAGTAGAATTTTTCCTGAACATATTTTTTTTTAATCACTGTTTCTTAACTGAAAATAACCTTCATCTCAAAGAGAGCCTACCTCTTGTTCTTTTCTTCTGAAAGGCAGAGAAAATTCCAATTTATGCTGTCAACAATTTATCTAGGTTTCCTTGGAAAGGAAGTGCTTGGTTATCTCACGTTTTTATTCCTAGAGCTTCAACAGTGCCCACCAATTCCGTGGGACTCACTCCCAACCTCTTATAGGCCCTCGAGGCTTTTTCTCAGTTTTCTTCCCAGTCCCAGCAGTTGTTTTTTCTTCTTTAGAGCCTTCATCTTCCAGAATGTTCCTTACCTCCACTGAACTTGTCTTTTCTCTTCTGGCATTTCCTTTTTGCCTTCTCATATTTTTCTTTTCCTTATTGCTTCAGCAAAGGAACAAAACTCTCTCCCTTCTTCTAGTTATACTCTCCTACCTCCTTTCTCTCACCACACTCTCCAGCCATTCTTTTGATGCCAATGGTCGAGGTTTAAATTGCTGGCCATGGTCCAAGGCTTCGGTGGAGAAGCAAGAGGTCATTGTGAGAGAGGAGATTTGGAAGGGTGGAGCAGGGAGAGAATGATATTGAAAAGAATGCACTGAAAAACCAGGGTTGGAGGGGGGAAAATGACAGTACTGAGAAAAGAATGAAAGTCAAGGCTGAGTTGAAGAAATACGGGTGAAATATAAGACAGAAACAAAATTGATAGGAAATAACAAAGCTGAGACTCATTTAAAAATAAAACTTGAAGATAATGGAGTAGTCACAGATACATGGAAAAGCAAAGTGCACGGGGATTAGATTTTTAAAAGTGTGTAGAAGGATCAGTAGAGGTGGAAGAAAGGATGTTTTTGAGGCTATAGGGAACCAATGGAGTATCAAACACAGAGGAATCCACAGAGGGTGGTGCACACCAATTGTTCCCCAGATACTCAGAGAAAAAGAATTGAGAGAAACTGAGTCTTGGGCTGATCTGAGCAGCCAAAACAAAGGACTTCCAGGACATTAAGTGTTTATTCATTACAAGTATGGGAAGGAGGGATACTGGGCAGGCCTGGGGATGCCTGTTGATAACAAATGTCAAGCAGGTGGGACTGTAGAATGAGGGCACAGCATATCCGTGCTGAAGAGAACAAATGGTTAATTCAGAGGGAAGGAATTTAGCTGGAGTGACTTGATCTTGACTGGGACTGAACTCATCCAAGCGCTGCTACTTCCAATGTTACACAGCTGATTTATGGAGGGGCAAGAAGCTTCTGCCACTATAGCCTGCTAATACTGGGAAGAGGTCACTGCTACAATTGACCACTTTGGTCTCTCCCAGGGTGAAGCTCAAGAAGTCAGTGGGGAGACAACTCTGCTGCTCTCAGAGGCCAGGAAATAGTCCGGGAGACCCAAGCATGCATAAACCTCACAGGAGGCTGTGGGCAACAACTCAAGGCTAGGAGAAAAGAACAAAAGGGACAAGGGCTTCCCCAAAGGGCTGGCATAAGAATGCCTGGTAAGAAGCAAAGGAGTGATCAGCTAGGAAAACACAGATGTGACTGGTGGCTTGGCCCAGGATTCAGGGAGGAAGTCAGAATTCTTGGGAATGTGAGGGTCAGGGTGAGCAAGTAGTAAGAAGGCAGAAGCCTCAGGAGCATGGAACTGGGACCGTGACTAGGAGAAGCTGTCTAAGTCGGAGGTTGCAGGATCTTGGTCATGAGGACTGTAGTTTCTGAAGATGTAGAACCAAAGCACAGAAGAACCAAGGAGCAGGCCCCAAAACAGGAGAGGCATCAGCACCCATCTGGCCATTGCTCATCATTGGCTCGAATTAGTGCACAGCCCTTCTTCTGGAGAGCTCTGTGGGAGCAAACAGGAGGAGAGAAAAACAAGACAGAGAGGGTTGGGAGTGAGGGACAGGGTGGAGACGTAGGGAGGGGAGAGAGAACAAATGTCAGTGCCAGGGCCCCTCTGCACAAAGGTAACTCTGCTCAGGCTGAGACCCCTGGGAGATGAGGAGGCTCCTGCCTGGGTGAGGATAAAGTAGTGAGTGTTCCTGGGGCTTCAGAGCTGGAGGGGAAACACCCAGGGCTGCCTAGGAGCCCACTGACCTCCTGGCAGGAGGATGGATCCATTCCTCTGGCCTGGCTCGGTTCCCTTGGCTCCGGCCTGCTTTTGTTCCCACCATCCTGAAGTATATTGAAGAAGGAGGAGGAGAGAGAAGCTGGTTCAGGAAGAGGATGCAGTAAAGACAGTTTTAGCAGACCATTCTGACAGCCCTCTCTCCGCCCACCTCCCACATTCACATATGTTTGTGCTGGGGCAGTGTCTCTAGATGGCCTCAGAATGAACCTCTCCCTGGCTGGACCACCTTCCCTCCCTCGCCTTCACTGTCCTGGCCTTTCCCTTGTCCATTCTGGAAGCCTCACATTCCCTCCTCTCCAGCGGGGGTAGGGCACTCACCCACCCGACCCCACAGCCCACCCTAGGAGCCAGCTCCACCGAGGCTGTTTCGAAGACACACTTGCCATCTGTCTGTCTTTAGCTCCCAGGATCTTCCTGGTTCAGCTCTAGGTGCTGGTGCTAAGGGCTGGGATTGAGGAAACGGCCTCCCCTCTTCCCAGGCCCACTTCCATGTTCTTGGAGGAGGAGCACTTCTGTCCTCTCCCACTCTGTCCCAGACACAGGCACTGTTGGCTCTGGGTGGAGCCTGTTTATCTGTGGGAGACACTCAGGCCTCTCCTTCCTGTTTATCTCAGCTTCTCAGGGAGGAAGAGGGAGGCATCTTCATCAGCTGAGCAGACTAGCTGTTTGTCTGCTCCTCTTACCCTGCTCTGTGACCTTTTTCACTAGGTTCCTTTATTTCCAGAATATCCTCCCCTCTCTCCTTTTTATTTGATTGAAATCTCTTGGTTACTGTCATTCCCAGGACAAATTCTGTCTTACCAGGGAGGGCCCCCAGCTCCATGTTCATTCACACTGTTCCCAAGCATGCCTAATTGCTGCTTTCCGGGGTTCATGGCCCTGCTGGTTGTAGGCAGAGTTGTGCATTACAAAGATCATCCACCCAGGAGCCCTGGATCTGCTAATTATTAGCTCTGTGACAATAAACAAGCCACTTAAACTCTCAGGCAGGTAAGCAATTTTGTCATCTGGAAAATGAAGGTAATACTTTCCTATGCCACCTCACAGGGACTCCGACCTGCAACAACTCTGCACAGCCTCTTTCTGTACTCTGCACTCTGTTAAACTGATGGCTCTCATCTTCATCCATCTGCTGATGGAAAACTGTTTGGTGGCAGGTATGGTATTATTTTTCTGCACATCCACCTCAGATGCTTTATAAATGTTAGTAGGAATGAGTTGAGTTTCATGTGGGAAAGTCTCCTTCCCACATCATACTGAGTTCACATCTGTAGCCTCAGCAAAGCAAACATACCTTTAAGAGCATGGTTCCTCATCAGTTTCTGTGTCCTTATCCAAGGCCAAATGGAATTCATTAGGATGGTCGTGGTAAGGACATCCTGGCAGGATTTCCTGAGAGCAGCAGCTGAGCTAGGGCCGGGGTGCCCTTATGGGGATGGAGGTGGGTGTGGGGGAGGAAGCTCCACAGATGGAGAAGTAGAGAAAGCTAGGGTGTCAACTGGAGCAACAGTAAAGAGTATGAGAAGCTCATGTAGGACGTTGAAAGTTTATGCAGTGGAACATAAGGCATTGAAAAAGATGCAGCTTTGGTAAAGGATGTGACAGGATGAAATAATTTCTACAAAAGGCAAAAGTGGTATTGAGGACCTTGACTGAATAAAAGACAAAGACAGTGGCTATCTGTAGTGTTGCAGAAAACAGCAAGTGAGGGCCTGGCCTGGGATGCTGGCAAAGGGGGAGGAGTGCCTAGAAAGAAAACTTCATGCAAGAGAATCAAGCCACGGACACTGATTGATGGGAAGTGTTATGATAGACTCACGGATGAGCTCCAAGTCACATTTCTACAAGGCTATGAGAACAGTGATGCCAGCAGTAGGAAAGCGGAGTCTTGGTTAAGGGTGAGCGCGGGGATGGACCTGAGGGAAAATGATGTCCAGGATTACAGAAGCCTTTGGTCCTTTGGGCTACAAAGCAATAGTGCCTTCTTGTCCTCAGGCAGCCCAGGACTCTGAGAACAAACACCCGTCTTCCTTCAGCCATTTTCCCCTCCCCACTCCTTCTCTATCAGTGAATCCCCTAAGCTGATGTCTCTCCTTAGGAAAATGATAATGGGGACACCTCAGACTAGGTCAGAGCAAACTGGTGGCTGCAGAGGTCAGCTGGTTAGAGCGTGGTGCTGACACACAGGAGTCCTTTGAGGCGAGTTGGTGATGTGTGACCTTAACCCTGAGGGGAGCCAAAACAGGTGGGATGAAGTTCTCTCTTTGTTGGAGAAGCTCAGCCAACTACGGGTGGCAAGGAAGCTTACTGTTTCACCTTCCCCTATCCATTTGCCTCCTGAAGGTAAAGAAATTCTGTGTCTTGATCCTGTGTCAGGAGCAGAGCTTCCTGTTATGTTCTCAGTCCTGCTTGTGCTGGGTCAACCTCACCACAGCCATACTCAATCTTGCCCAGACTGTGAGCCACCACTCAGAGCTTTATGGCAAGGAAAGGTAAATTCTCAGTTAGAACAGCCACTGCATTTATCTTCGTAGACTGTGCTTCTTGCTTACCTTCAGTGTTCTGTGCCACCTATTTTAATTTCAAGGTCATTACATCAGTAAATAGGGAAGGGTGGAGGGGGTGAAGGGAGGGCAGGGATAAGGGGAAAAATGAGATCCAAGACCTGTCATGTAAAGATAAAAGAACCCAATGATGAATGTAACTGTACTGTATATCTAAAAACTACCAATAAATTGGATGAGAGAAAAGATCATTACATCATACCATAATAATATCAAAATATCAGTGATAATAACATTAGTATCTACTTTTACAGAGCAATTCCTGTATACCAGGAATGTGTTAGATATTTTGTTTGCATATATTTTTTTTCATTCAGTCCTCACAGCAATTCTTGGGGGAGCTAAGCACTATTATTTTCTCTATTTTACAACTAAGAAAGCTGAGGTATATGGAAATGCAGTAAATTTATCCAAAGTCATAAAAATAATAATTATCAGTACCAGGAACTAATAATAATTAATAATTAACAATTGAGCTTACCAAGGATAAAGCTGCATTCACTTTGGAGTTTCTTTACAGTAAAAAATACTTCCTCTATCTAACTTGTCTTTTAAAACTATCTCTCATTGCTTGGTCTTCTTCTGTGAAGGAATTAGGAGTCATTACTATCCAAATTGTTAAACATACAGTTTCACCTTGTATTAGTTACTTTATCATCACTGGGGCAAAATACCTGACAGCCACAATTTAAGTAGGGGAGGTTTGTTTTGTACAGGTTTTAGTTCATAGTCTACTGGCTCTGTGGCAGAACAGCATGGCAGAGGAGCGTAGCAGAGGAAAAGCTGCTCACCTCATGGTGGTCGTGAAGAGAGAGAATGGAGGAAACAGGGGGGCAGAACATCCTTCTTGTTCATACCCACTGTGACCCATCTCTTCTGACCAGACTCCATCTCCTAATAGCAAGTCAAGTATAGATCCCCATCATCCAATCACCTTCCAAAACCCCCATTTCAGTGTGAATAGGGATCCTGGGGAACATCTAGATATAGCATTTTTGAAAGACTGTGAGCTTTTCATGTGATCCATAATCAACTACTGTCCATGGTGCTTCACATGTGAAAATGAAGGACAAGATGTTTGTTGTCATAGAGTGAAATTCTGTTGTATATTCCAGTAGCAAAGTACTTCTAGGGTCATTTGTTTACAGTGAAAACAAGTAGGAAGTTACCTATGAAAGAATAATTGACCAGAATTTGAAGGAGCCAGAGTAAGGAGGTGGGGCCCAGGGGCAGGTCATTAGTGGTCTAATTTGAAATGACACTTCTCCACCCCTAGCTCCTCTCTTCTCTCTGCTTCCTGACTGCCATGATGTGAGCAGATTTCCTCCTCCAGACCTATCCACCATGTGTTTCTGCCTTGGAGCCAGCCAACCAGGGACTGTAACCATGAGCCAAAATGATCCTTTCCTTCTTTAAGGTTGTAGGTGTTGGGTACTGTGTATCAGTGATGGGAAAAGTGACTAAGAAACCTTACAGGCTTTCTGGCTAGAGTAAGGGTTTTGGTCATGAGGTACAACAACAGAAAAATTAACTACTACATCACAACATCAGAAATATGTATGAAAGGAAATGGCAGGGAGTTGACTGGAACTAATAGGACCCACTGCAGGGCAACTCAGGCTACATGGCAGGGCAGCGACCCCTCACTTTATGGACCTTTAACCCAGCTCACCTACTCATACAAATTGTCCAATCACCACCCTAGCTTTTATGCCAAACTTGTTTCTTCTGGGATGCTAATCATTTTTATATGAACTTGATCACTTTATTGCATTCTAGTTCTACTTTCTCATTGCTCTGCTCCCTCTTTTTGGGTGAGCACCTCCAGTTCTTCAGACTTAAAGCCTGAGCTTAATGCAAAGAATTAAGTGTGTGGGCACTCTAGGGATTTTGACTGAAATTCACCCTAGATCTTCAGCTCCTGGAAGACTCAGGTTAGGTCTGATCACCTACATCCACACCCACAGAGTTTTTAGTCTCTAGAAATTGTAAAAACTCTGTGTTTTATTTTTAATTAATAAATACAAATTATGTGCATACATTGTGTATAACATATTGTTTTGTAATATGTACATGTGCGAGATGATTAAATCAAGCTGACTCATATGCATTACCATACATGCATTCTTGTGGTGAGAATACTTAAAAGCTATTCTCTTAACAATTTTGAAGAATACAGTACATTTTTCTTTTTTCCTTTCCCCGTCCACATTCTCTAGTTTCCCCTTCCTTTTGAGTAATTTTTTTAAAATTTCACATTGTCTATTATACATTTTGGTCCCTATTCACACTTTCACTTTTTTACAGTGGAGAAACAATGTGATATTTACACATGTGTGTCCAATTTATTTCACTTGAGTATAGATTCAAGGTAAACCCATTTAGCTATAAATATCTCAAATTAATTCTTCTTTATGGCTGAGTAATATTCCATTGTGTAGAAAAACCACATCTTTTTATCTATTCATCAGTTGATGAGAATTTTGGAAGAAAAATAAGGAGAAAAGAAGGAAAAAATGGAAACAGAGATTTTGCAAATAAGGCCAGGAAGAGGAGTTGAATGGAAGGGAAGGGAAATGGAAAAAAAAAAAGAGGAATCAAGATGCATCATGTACAGGTACATATTCCCTATGATGAATTCGATCATTATGTATGTCTAAATTGTACCAATAACATTAAAATTAAAAAAGAATATAGCAACTTATTAGGAACTATACTGCCTATGTTGTACAATAAATCTCTTAAACTTGCTCCTTTTTTTTTTTTTCTGGTACTGGGGATTGAACTCAGGACCTTGAACTTGCAAGGCAGGCAGTGGAACCACTGAGCTAAATCCCCAGCAAACTTGTTCCTTCTTAACTGAAATTATATATCCTTTGATCTACATCTCTCCAGCTGCCCATTCCCAACCCCATCCTCTGGTAACCATCATTTTATGTTCCACTTTTATGACTTGGGCTTTTCACAGTCTACATATAACTGAGACCATACAGTGTTTCTCTTCCCACACCTGGCTTTATTTACTCAACATAATATTCATCTCAAATGGCAGGGTGTCCTTCTTCCAAAA